GATCCTCTTTGGGGTATTTCTTTTTTTTTCCCTTCCCTCTTTCCTTTTTGCTTTGATGCAATTTTTTTTTTTTTTTTGTGGAGCATTGGGGGGCCAAAAAAAAACCTGCTGGTCCCTTAGGATTTGCAAATAGCTTAGTGTTGTGGCCTGCCAGCAGACAGTGAGGAGGTTGGGAAGGAACCTGGGCCAGTCCTGGAGTCTGGAGAAGGCACTGACGAGGGCTCTGCATCTGCCTTCAGAGTCGGAGATCAGTGGGGCAGAAGAACAGCTGGAGCCTGGTCCCGATGTGCGCATGAGCAGAGCTGCCCGGAGAAGGGAACAGTTAAGGAACAAGGGTCGACTTGGGAGTAAAGGCACAGGTGGACGGTGAATGGTCCCTCTCATAGGGAATAAAGAGGAGCAAAAGGGGAGTGGGGCTTTGCAGGAGACAATCAGTTCATTTAATTAGGGTGAAGATTTGTTTGTGACTCCTTGCCAAGTATTTTCTGGTACAGTGTTGCACTTGAAAGCGGTCATGCCCTTGTTGGAGTCTGATTCTGAGGGGGAGATTGAGCAGCTGACAGTGGGAGTGTGGCTCCGGTGGCTGTGGAAGAAATGGGGGAAAGGCACAGTCCGGTTGGGCCTTTGGACAAAGATCCAGGGCCACCCTCTCTTCATCCTAGGGCACACAAGGAGGAACGGAGAAGGGAGCAATGTGGCTTACAGGAGAGAAAAGGGCCCTGATCCTTTTAATTAGTTGCAGCTGGGAGAACAGGATATAAGAAGGGTGTTTGCACACAGCACCTTGCTGGAAGCAAAGCCTGCCTTATCTTTGTCGAGGCTTATCTGCGTTTTGGCGTCTTCCCAACTGTGTGTGTGCTTCGTTATCTGTTGGAAGTCTGCAATTTATTATCCTGGCCTGTCATGTAAATTACTTCAGCGTGGTTTGTGTTGGGTTTTTTTTAATTTCTAATTTATCTCCACTTTGGGTTCGAACTGCATTTCTTTCCTTTGTAGACTGTTTTTGGAAGAGTTTGATCTCCAGCCGAGGATAACTGGACATTGGGGGCCAAGTTGGAGGCATTAAAGGGAATTTATTTACTTTTGTGACTTTGTTATTTTTGTGCCATGGCCCAGGTCATCATAGAAGCTATTAGCCTGGCAGCTCTCCAAGCCTGATCAGATCCGTGGTTGCAATTCACTCTTGAAAGATTGTTTGCTGGGACTTTGCTGGATGTGAATGGGAGGAATTCACATTAGCTTAATAAAAAGAGCTTTTCTGCTTAGTGATTTTGTGAAGCCTAGGTCAGAACACCTGGCACCTGGCGGAGATCCGTGTTGGGATTGTTGAGTTGGGTATGAATCCAAAAATTAAGGCACAGATGGTCCTCGACTTACAACCACAAGAGAGCCCCAGATTTACGTTGTTAAGCAAGACATTTGTTATGCGCACTTGGCTCCATGTTATGACCCCTTCCTTGCGACAGTTCGTTAAGGGAATCACTGCCATTAAGTTAGTGACATGGTCATTAAGTGAATCTGGCTTCCCCTTTGACTTTACTGGTCAAAAGGTCCCAAAATGGGAATCACGTGAGCCCTGGGATGCTGCAACCGTCATAGATAGGAACCAGTGGCCAAACATCTGAATTTTGATTGGTGGGGAGGCTGCAATGGTCGTGAAGTGTGAAAAATGGCCATAAATCAACTTTTTTCCGGTACTGTTGTAACTTTGAACCAGTTGCTAAATGAACTGTTGTAAGTGGAGGACTACTTGCATTCCTCTTTTAGTTCTGCCAAGGTGTAAATCCAGTGTGGTTTTTTAAAAATCCTAAAACCAGAATTTGAAGATGGGAGTTTTGGTCTTCTCGTTTTCAGGCTGCCTCGGTTCACAAACACGAACTGAAAACCATGTTTGTAAATTAGGATGCTTTCCCCAACCCTCCTTTTTAGAATGAGTGAGTTGGAAGGGGTCTTGGAGGTCTTCTAGTCCAGCCCCCTGCTGAAGCAGGAGAAGCTATGCTATTTCAGATAAGTGACTGTCTAGAGATATCGTTTCAAACAAAGGATTGTCCAATTGCTTCTTAAAAACCTCCAATGATGGAGCACCCAAATTTTATCATAATTTATGTTAATGTATCCAGATAATTACAGAACGTAGAATAATAGAATTGTAAGGGACCTTAGAGGTCTTCTAGTCCAATCCCCTGCCCAAGCAGGATATCCTCTACCATTTCAGACAAATGGTTGTCCAATCTCTTCTTAAAAACCTCCAGTGATGGAGCGCCCACAATTTCTAGTGGCAAGCTGTTCCACTGGTTAATTGTCCTCCCTTTTGGGAAGTTCCTCCTTAATTCCAGGCTGCTTCTCTCCTTAATTAGTTTCCATCTGTTGTTTCTTGTCCTGCTTCTGGTGCTTTGGAGAATAATTTGACCCCCCCTCTTCTTTCTGGCAGCCCCCCCCAAATATTAGAATACTGTTACCACGTCACCCCTAATTCTTCTTTTCTCTAGACTAGCCAAACCCAAAATCCTACAGCCTTCATTATGCATCATGGGCTGGACTTTGCCTTCCATCATGCTCAGCCAGCTGCTGGACCCCTCCAGGTTTAAAGGGGAGGGGTGCATGAACTTTGTAGTCCCTTTGTAGCAGTGGCAAAGATAGAGGGTCGGAACTTCGAGTCCGGCTCCAATCCTTTGATAGTGGATTCCTGAGCTTGTTCCTGGGCAAGCTCTGCTACTCCCTGTCCTATAAACAGTGGTTTGCTTATTGTGGTTTGTAGGACAACCCTCCCTCCCCCCATTGGTTGAGTTTGCACGAGCCCCCGCTAAACGAAGCAGCTCTTCAGCCAAAACATCATGTGACGGTCGTGATCATTAAGCAATTTGCCCAAGGTCATTAAGCAAGGCGGGACCACCATTTGCAACTTGTTGCCAGCCTTCCTCATTGACTTAACCAGTTGGAAGCCAGCTTGGAAAGTCACAAGCAGTGATCATGTAACTTGCAGGGAAGTTGTGACGGTCATAAGTCTGAGGATCGAGGATAAGTTATTCCCCCCCCCTTCTCAATGTGGCGGTAACTTCAAAAGCTTGCTTAACGGATGGTTGTAAGCTTAAGGACAAAGGGGAGTAGTGAAATGCTACCGGTTTGGACCGGTTTGCCCAACCTGGTAGCAAAAAAATGGCTACCGGTTTGGCCAAACAGGTAGGAAAAAAAAAAAGCTCCAACGATCAACTGAAGGGAGAAGAGAAAAGCGCAGGATTGGCCCTCCCAACTGCCTCTGCACTTTTCTGTTCTTTATCCCCTCAGCCTCAGCTTGTGTTTGGAAAGCTGCGTGCGGGAGGTGGTGTTCAGCCGGTTCTGACCAGTTCTGGAGAACCGGTAGTGGAAATTTTGAGTAGTTCAGAGAACCGGCAAATCCCACCTCTGACTGGCCCCGCCCCCATTTCTTCTCTGCCTCCCATTGAGTCCCAGTTGATCGGCTGGGTCTCCTTCGGTTGCCCCGCACAGGAGAACAGAGCTGCAAAGCAGGTTAGTGGGGTAGAGAGGGAATGGAGATTTTGCAGTATCCTTCCCCTGTCACTCCCTCCAAGCCACGCCTACCAACCCACGCCTACAGAACCAGTAGTAAAAAAAATATTTGAATCCCACCACTGCTGCGCACACACACACGAAGTGCGCGATCACCAAATGGGTTGGGAAACCGGTAGAATCCCACCACTGTTTTGAAAAGGCTACTTACTCTGGAAACAGGTGTACGTTCAACTGTTGAGGCCACTTTTTCCCACCCTTTCCGGGAGCGGAGAGGGAAGCTGAGCTCCTACCCAAGAATGAAACCTCTGGGGACAGTTTTGCAAATTGCCCCTTTCGTTACGCAACCTCGGGAGCAAATTCCGAGGAAGCCGAATTCTGTTGGTGGTACGTTGGACTTCCTTTTTCTCTTCCCTTTTGGAAATCGTGCAAGGGGGGGGGGGGAAACTATTTCAATGCTGCAATGGATGAAGGGGAAGGGAAATGAACAAAAAGCCAGCTTGCTTTGGAGAAAACGGTTGGGTCAACTTTGCTACTGCCACAATTTACGCAGGGTGTAACTAAGACTTATTTCAGGATAGGAGTGGAGGGCTTATTTAAAGCACCTGTAGGTTAAGTGGAACACCTGGAGAACCGGGTTTGGGGGGGGGACTTTTAATAGAAATCCTGACAAAGCAAAGTGTGCCTTCCTGTGTATAGGTAGTCCTTGAATTACGACCACATTTCAGCCCAATGTTCCTGTTAAGTAAAGACATTTGTTTAAATGAGTTTTGTCCCATCTCAAAGGTGCTTTTTCAGGTGACAACTACACTTCCTTGTTTTTCTTTTGAAGGCATTTCACTTCTCATTCAAGAAGCTTCTTCAGCTCCAACCGGGTGGTGGGGAATGGAATAATTTGTATTCCTGGTAGACAGTTGGCCATTTGCATCTTTTTAGAGGGTGGTTGAGGCCACCTGGAGGTTTATCTGTGTCCTCAGGGTCACCTGAGTGGTGCAAATGGTTCCTGTGGTCTGCAGTTTTCGTTTTCTCTGGAAATCCATTCCTATTAGTGCTAAAACTCCCAAGTGGCCTCAGTGACCCTCTAAAAGGATGCAAATGACCAGCTAGCTGTCTGCAAGGAATAAAAATATTTCCATTCCCCAGCTGAAGAAGCTTCTTGAAAGAGAAGCAAAATGCCTTCAAAGAAAAACCAGAATGTCCAGAAAGAAGTAAATTATTGTTATTGTTGTTGTTGCTGTTGCTGTTGCTGTTGCTGTTGCTGTTGAATTAATATCAACGGGATGAATTTTCTTGTAAACATTTCAATTCTGATATTTTAATAAAATAATGGCACCCAGACAACACACTGTTTAATAGAAATTGAATTTTTATATGTTGTGTAAATAAAACAATTTAAAAAAATTGGGGGAAAAAAAAAACCCTGTCTCAAACTCACCCCCCCTTTTTTCCCCCCAACAGGACTCTAATCCCGCCTTCCTTTGTTTCCCTTCCAGGAGCAACAGGAAATGGCCGGGATGAGCATCGCGGGCCCAAACGTCCTTAGTGCGTCGCATCGCTGATTCTTAGGAGAGGCCCCCAAAAGAAGACTGCTCCCCCCAACCCCCCCTTTGGCAATGGCTGGATCTACGCAACCGGCAACCCAGACCTGGCGAGGGGCTGAAAGCCACTACCCCTCCCATGCCATGTCCTACCCTGTGGCCTTAAATCAGCCCCATGTGGTGAGTTGTCTTCTCTTCCCTCCTGGTTGGACTGAGCAGAGTTGAGTTGGGTTGAGTTGAGTTGAATTGAGTTGAGTTGGGTTGAGTTGAGTTGAATTGAATTCTTCATTGGCCAAGTGTGATGGGACACACAAGGAATTTGTCTTGGAGCAAATGTTCTCAGTGTACATAAAAGAAAAGATACATTCGTCAAGAGTCGAGAATCATCAGGTACAATGATAGTCATAGGGTACAATAAGAGTAGAGTAGAGTAGAGTAGAGTAGAATAGAATAGAATAGAATAGAATAGAATACTTTATTGGCCAAGTGTGATTGGACACACAAGGAATTTGTCTTGGTGCAAAAGCTCTCAGTGTACATAAAAGGAAAGATACATTCGTCAAGAGTCAAGAATCATCAGGTACAATGATAGTCATAGGGTACAATAAGAATAGAGTAGAGTAGAGTAGAGTAGAGTAGAGTAGAGTAGAGTAGAATAGAATAGAATAGAATAGAATAGAATAGAATAGAATAGAATAGAATAGAATAGAATAGAATAGAGAAGGGAAGGGAAGGGAAGGGAAGGGAAAGGAATAGAATTTTTTATTGGCCCTGTGTGATTGGACACACAAGAAATTTGTCTTGGTGCAAATGCTCTCAGTGTACATAAAAGAAAAGATACATTCATCAAGAGTCAAGAATCATTAGGTACAACACTTAATGATAGTCATAGGGTGCAATAAGCAATAAAATCATACTAGGAAACAGTCAATATAAATCATAAGGATACAAGCCACAAAGTTACAGTCATACAGTCACAAGTGGGAGGGGATGGGTGATAAGGAGTGATGAGAAGGTTAATAGTAATACTAGTGCAGACTTTGTCAATAGTTGGACAGTGTTGAGGAAATTATGTGTTTAGCAGAGTGATGGCGTTTGGGGAAAAAACTCCCCTTGTGTCTAGTTGTTCTGGTGTGCAGTGCTCTATAGTGTCGTTTTGAGGGTAGGAGTTGAAACAGTTTATGTCCAGGATGTGGAGGGTTGTAGATATTTCAGGATGTGAAGGGTTGTAGATATTTTCACAGCCCTCTTTTTGACTCGTGCAGCATACAAGTCCTCCATGGAAGGCAGGTTGGTAGTCATTATTTTTTTTCTGCAGTTCTGGAGAATCACTCTCTGAAATCTGTGTCTCGATACAGACACATTGAACATCGTTGCCGTTGGCTGGCTGTAGGGGCGTGCCAGTGGGGTGAGAGTGGGCTTCTGGGTCATGAGGACTAGGGCCTTGGGGGTGGTCTTGGCGAAGGCGATGATCGCGTGATCGGAATTTCGGGGGTGCTTGGCCAGCAGGATGGTTTAAAACAAGTCGCAGCCTCCCCAGCGGGTTCTGGGTTCGCCGTTTGTGAGATTCCTAGCCAGCTTCCCACAAACAAAAGCATTGGGAGAAGCCGGATTTTCTCAGTGACCAAGCAATTCACTTCAAAACCACAGTGATTGACATAAAAACCTGGCACAAAAGGTGGTAGGAGCCCGGGTGGTGCACGTGGTTAGAAGGCAGTTTTGCAGGCTGACTCTGCTCATTGCCAGGAGTTCGATCCTGACTGGTTGAAGGTTGACTCAGCCTTCCGTCCTTCCAAGGTCGGTAAAATGAGGATCCAGATTGTTGAGGGCAAAAGGCTGACTCTGTAAACCGCTTAGAGAGGGCTGTAGATCACTGTGAAGCGGTATATAAGTTCTATTGCTATTTCTCCTTCCTTCCTTCCTTCCTTCCTTCCTTCCTTCCTTCCTTCCTTCCTTCCTTCCTTCCTTCCTTCCTTCCTTCCTTCCTTCCT